CATAACAAGACAAAAAGCTCAAAGCTGCTGGCCATTTCCATGTAGTTCTTTTCCCTGCACCTTGTCCCCACATCTGTCTTAACTTGAACTCCAGGTCGGCTCTGTAGGGGCAGTGGTGGGTGACACACAGGATCTCCCTGCTTTAGAGCTGGAGAAACTGAGGCCCAGAGAAGTAATTTCTACTTCTGTTTCAGATCTTGGGCCATCACCCCCTTGAGGAAGCCCTCCCTGCACTCTCTACTACCCTGTCAGGCCTGGTTTTTGGTTATTTGTTCTCAGAGGACCAAGGATTTTTGCTGTAGAGAACTGGCCTCAGGTTGTCACGGTCTATTCATTCACATGGATTAATTGAAGTCTTTCTATGTCACTTGGCATGCAGGGGACACTGGAGAAACACTGAGCGACTGAATGACAGTTTGGGTTCTTGTGACAAGTAACAAGAAGAGGTGTTAGTAGAACATGGATGGGGCACCACATGGTCCCCACTTGGGGTATAAAAAGTCTAGGAAGCTTCTATAAGGGGGTGATGACCTGGTTGGAGCTTGAAACCTGAGTTGCTGGTAGCAGCTGGAACATGCAGGATGGTACCTGGCAGGAGGTGAGCCCCTGGCTCCTGTCACCTTCAGGAATCTGGGTTCAAGGTCCAGTGGTCTAGGTAGCTGGGAATGTGGGCCTGTGAAGGCCTCTGCCCCAAGCTCCATAACCCCAGGTGACCTTGAGGCAGGCAGGGTGGCACACCCTTCCTCGGCTCACTCCCCTTTGTCCAGTGGTAGCCAAGGGGCATCTGACTCACCTCCTCTTTGCCCCACTTCCCCACAGTGAGATTTATTTTAAAGTTACCTGAAAATCCCTCCAGCCTTCCTGATTCAGCCACCCTGTCCTCTGTGATTCTCTTGTGAAGGTCAACTGAGGGTCCCTGGAGGACTGCAGCCCATGCACCTCACTGGCTCAGCTCACCCACCCCACCCTGTGGCTCTCCACTCTCCCCCACCAGGTGGCAGAGGCTTCTGGAGGTCTTCCCACCAGGAGTCTAGAACAGGCTTATTTATGTAGAATAAAAAAATTACGTATTTCATCCCATTTTCCTGGTCTTTGACAAAACAATTCTATTTGCATAAGACTAATAATTCAGTGACCTCCTTAAAGGCCATTTTTCTCTTGATTCTGGCCCATACAGAGGCCATGCTCTGTTAGAGTGGGAAAATAATTTTTTCTTGGTCACAGATTTATAGCTACAAGCAGAGCACTCTGTGAACATTCTTTCTAGTGAGTAGTCTGGGCTTAATATTTCCTATACTTACATATTATGAAGGAGACCTTCCAAACATTGTGGTTCCTCTGTGCACCTCATATCCCTTCTCATTATCTGGACCACAAGCCAATTTCAAATTTCCCCATCCAAGCAAATGGCCTAAGGACAGAGAACTCCCAGATGCTCAAACAACAAGGAAACCAGAGAGCCAGGACAGGGCCTCTGTAGTAGTGAGGAGCCTGACCAGAGAGCCAAGTAAAATGAAAGGCTCCTGCTACCCAACTCTGAGGGCAAAGCTGCCAGGAAGTGAGAGGGAAGGGGACATCATGTCTCTGAGCCTCCACTTTGCCCCAGGATCACAGAGGTCAGGGTGAGACCTGTGCTATGCATCTAAGCAGTCTGCCACCAGGTCCCATGTGGGAGAAGGTGGATGTCATCTTAGCAAAAGAGTTTTCTCTTGGACCCCACAGGAGTGGGTCCTGACCTGGAAGAGGATGGTCTGGTGGCTGGTCCAGCTGAGCTGCCAGGTTGAGAGGCCAGCACAGATGTGCACCTAGATGCAGCCTTGCTCATGGTGGTGCTGGTGCCCCGAGGCAAACTTGGGCATTTCTGCTTGGGTGGGCCCTTTGGGGATGGCACTGAAAGGAGGGGCCTAGGTGGCTCCAAGATCATGGTTGCTGTTTGTCCTGTGTAACTTGGTCACCATGGAAATACTCTGGTGGTGGGGGCCACAGAGAGTCAGGCCCAAGCTTGCCTCATAGGTCTGTCTGGTGCTCGAGGGTCCCTCCTCTTAGAAAGGAGATGCTCATTACCCACAGGCTGCTCCCAGGTTCTCTGCTCTCAGGTTCCACTGAGGACACTGCCAAGGGCATAGTCATGCAAGTTGGTCTTTCTGGGGTGGTGCTGGCCCCTTGATTTCTGCTTGGGTGGCCTTTGTGTCAAGCATTAAATGGAGGGGCATTGGTGACTCCCTGCTCATGTTTGCTGCTTGTCTTTTGTCCCTTGGTCACTGGAGGTATTCTGGTTAGAGGTGCTGCAGGTTTTCATGCTCCAGGCTTGCTGTCTGGGCTTGGAGTTTCTCTTCTTTTGGAGCAGATGCTCAGTGCTCCAAAGGCCAGTATCACATCTGGAGGGAGGTCTGTAGTCGTAGAAGCCAGTGATTCCACAGCATGGACTTTCAAGTGTAGGTGGCCTTTCTGGAAATGGTGTTGGTCCCCTGCATTGATCGTAGGGGTTTCTGCTTCGGATGACTTTGGAGATGGCAGTAAAATTAGAAGCACCCATAGCTAGGGTGTCTTAGCAGGTCCTAAGCTGGACCCATGGTGCCCAAGTCCTGGAAAGTCCCACAAAGGAGAATAAGCCAGGGCAGTCCCTGCCAGAACCTGGACTCTCCAGCCTTTGAACCCAAAGGTGCAGGATGCCAGCCTTGCCTGCCTTGAGTGTAGTAGTTGTCAAGTGCTTCACAGTCGTTGCACAGGAGCATTGCTGGCACAGTCAGGCATTTCATTGAGATGAATCCAAACCAGGGGAACAGGTTTTTGAGCAGTATTGGATGTGGGAATATATAATGTGATTGGCTTTCTAGAAGGTAACCTCATCGCCATGGTTCCTGATGGGCACTGCTGAAAATACAGAACCATCCGGAGGACTGAAAATTTGATGAGTCATTCATTTATTTATTTTTATACCAGATATTGAACCTGGGGTTCTTAACCACTAAGACACATCCTCAGACTTTTTTTTTTTTAAATATGTTTATTTAGAGACAGAGTCTAGCTAAGTTGCTTCAGACCTCTCTAGTTTGCTGAGGCTAGTTTTGAACTCCATATTTTCCTGTCCCATCTTCCCCAATGCTTGGACTACGGGTGTGTGCCTCCAAGCCCTGCTGGGCCTTTCATTTTGGCCAGATCTGAGCCTCTTAGTACTTTTGTTAGGAAATGGCCAGGAGGAGGGAGAGTGGATCTTAAATGGATGGTTTGTTATTGTAAAGGGCTGGGGATTATAGTTTGAATTAATCTAAGAGTCTTCTTAATATTGTCCTGAGCATTGAATTTACCCATATTGACCCTACCTCTCCCCCTGCCCAATGCCACTGTGGATCACTGAGGGTTCTCTATGGTCCGAGCTCAGCCACAACCCTTTTCTTGGTTACTTCTCATAATGACACACCCATGAACTGCATATCTTGACTGGTAACTAAAGCTTTCGTTGGTGCTTTCAAATATGAAACTATAAATTTGTTATCAAGTGACTTGTCTAGAAATCATTTTCTTCCAAATTGTTCCAAAGAGGTCAGACTGGAAGAGGACCTAGTCACTTGCCAGGCTCACCTTCTTCAGGTGTTCCAGCCCCTCAGTGATTTCCATCAGTTCCCCCTCTTTGTAAAATCCTGCAATAGACTTGTGTTTGGGGAAGCAGCAGGCTTAGGATTGAAGCAGGAGTTCAATAGAGGTTTTCAGCAGGAGGCTATGATAGGAGTCCTCAGTGCTTCCCCAGTGAGCTTGCCTTTTAATAGCAGGTAACCCTGGGAATGGGACAGCTATCAACAACTAATAGATATCAGTACTCACATGAAACAGCTGATGTGCTGTGTTCACCAGCCTATTCTTTTTTTTTTTTTTTTTTGATATTGTTTTTTAGTTGTCAATGGACCTTTATTTTATTTATTTATATGTGGTGCTGAAAATTGAGCCCAGTGCCTCAACATGCTAGGCAAGCACTCTACCACTGACCCAAACCCCAGCCCCATCAGCCTATTCTTTAAGAAGAAAGGATGTTCATAACCTGTTAGTGTCAGGAAAGCCAAAGGATCACATGTACTAGTCTCTGGGGAGTAGTAGCCTTCTAGGGCAGGCTCCCTGACTGTGTGTTAATTAAGTGTCCTGGTCCATGTGGGCAGGATGAAAGTCAACCTCAGTGTGAACTGGGAAGCGCAGAGCTGATGACCAAAGAGAGCTGTTCTTTGATACTGCATTTCCTTCATCTATCGTGTTTAGCATGAGGAAGATTTTTTTTTCCTTGTGGAAATTGAGTTAATAGGTGTTAAATAAATATCTTAGTTGCTTCTGATGTGGCTGAGGAGCACTTTCAAGTGTTTAAAAAACTGGTTTCTGTATATCATTGTATAGCTAATTGCAATTCTTATGAAACCTTCTCATAGGCTGTTTCTGGTTTTATTGGGATTTTTTTCAGCTGCATTGTGAATTGGATGAAGGACATTTTCCCTTCTTATAAATGGTTTTGTGGAATTTTGAGATTTGGGTTTTTATTCACATTTGAAGGGAATAAATCAACCAGCCTTAAGAACATGACATCTTTCTGATGGATAGAAGCAATTCAAGGAAGAATAAGGATGATGTCTTTTAGAAATGCTATAGGAATATTTGTTTGGGGGGTCAATAAATAACATGCTTAGAGTTTAATAAATATTTTGTTATGTCATCGTAGTTTCTACATTTTTGTATTCTAGTAGAATTTTATCTAGTTTTAATATTTGTTTTTGAGCAGACATCTTTATCTTGAGAGATATCATTTAGTGTTACTTTTCAAAATTTGCAGCTGTGTAAATCCAGATGCTTGGTGAAGCTGCTCTAGTGTGAGGAAAGCCTCTCCTGTTAGGCCAGGAGCCTGTAAGGCACCATCAGCACATATGAAACCTGCTACGTATTATAAGCAACAGGAAATAGCACAGAAGCTGCAAGTGCATTTAGGTCATTTGGAAGTTGAATTCTTGTCATATCTTTACTTTGCTTAACATATCTTCTCCCCTTTAGTTCTTTCTTATAGTAATTTGAAGCTGATGAATTTACTGGTATTTTCAGGAGAGCATATACAATTAAAATATTTTTCAATTCAGTATCAGTTCAAAGAACTTAGCATCACCTGCCTCTCACCTTTGGTGGGAAGGTAATGAGCAGCCACTTAGCTCTGTGTGCACAAGGATGATGGTCCTGAGTCTCCTGGGATGGCTAGCTAAATCTGGAAGTTCCTTAGGAGATGGAAAGACATCAGCTCCTCATGTTCCATTCAACAGTGAGCACAGGGCGCTCAGTGAACATGCATTCGGTTTGTGAGTGTTCCCTGCAGGGACTGGTCTCCTATTCCCTTTCCAGACCTCAAAGCTGAATTGTCTGTCTTTCTCTCTGCTCCAGTAGCCTCAGCTATTGAGTACTATTGCCTCTGAGATGCTTCTTTGTTCATACTACTGGGATCTTGCCTCCAAAGTTTAGTTGGAAGAATAGGAGGAAACTGTTGCTTTAAACTGCACACAAAACAAAAGCAAGTGGCTTTGCCTTTCCCTAAAGACATGGAGATAGAGAAGTCCGTTTCCGTGGTCGTGGCCATGCTATGGAAGAAATTCTTGGCCATTCCACACCATCCTTGCTTCTTATATGTTTTGTGCATCAGTGAATTTTTTAGCCCTAGCATTTTCACCTATGGGAGGCGTGTAGAAACAGAGGCACAGAAATGCCAGCTCCTTGCCATTTCATGGGGTCCTCAGGTCTCTGCCTGCTGCCCCACCAACTTTCCCCACAAACCTCTGGAATTTCAGCAGTGCCCTCTGCTGTGGGCCTGTGGAGCCAGACTAAGTTAGACTTCCCGTGACTCAAACTTGGAAGTGATACCCCATGAGGCTTGTTGATTTCTGTTTCTTAGAAACCAGATGCTGATGTGGATCCACTGAGAGAGGAGGGAGCTACAGGCTTTGGGCACAGGATGCTGTGGTGTTTGAAATCCCCTGTAGTGTACCCCATCATACGATCGGCAGAGACATTGGGGCAATTTGATTTCGCACAGGAATTAGAATTCTATGGCAAAGGGGAGGCTATCTCTGAAAATAACCCTCCAGTGGTGCAGAGTGGGGACCATGGCCAAGAGAGGAGCTGACTTTCCCTCTGTCACTGTGGGACTCAGGTCATGGTAAAGTTGGATGTCATCCTTTGTCCCTTAACTTCCTATGTCATGTTATCTGTATATTTGTGCATTAGAGACGCATGACTCCTGGATTAGGGTTTCTCAGGGAGTCCATGTATGTGTGGGCACATGTCCCTGATGACAACCTCTAAAGCAGATGCTAGAATGACCCCTGGGAACATGTTGAGAAGCTATGGAGGCCCTGCAAGGCACAATGACTTCCTCAGGGCCACACACATACCCACAAGAAGGGGAAGGGTCTCAACCAAGCTCTGTCTCCCCAAACCAAGGGAGCTGGCTACACCCGGGCCTGTCTGAGGGCCTGATCCAGGGTGTGTTGGTGTAACTGGGTCCACCTGTGCCTATGTCATGGGAAGACTGCAGCCCAGTGGGCCATTGGAACCATCTTGTGTAAGAAAGGGACTCAGCAAAGGACTTCCTGAGACAGTGACCTCACTTCCTTGGCCATGGAACTCACAGAACTTGGAACCCTGGTAGCTAGGCACTCACAGTCCACAAACAGTCCCGGTCTGCTCACTGGTGTTGAGACAGCAAGCCCAGAGCCATGAGTTCTTGTTGTCTACAGATCTGTGGGTGCTTAAGCCTCAGGGCTTTTCCTGAGTGTGGAGGTGCTGGGTCAGCGCTGTGTCCCAACGACTCTGGCAATTTTTCCCAAGGAGACCAGAAGTGAGACAGGACAGGGCACCACAGGTGTCCATAGTTTAACCCACATTCAGATTCCCCTTTCAAAAGTGCCAGATCTCACCAGGTTAGTGTGTGTGTGTGTGTGTGTGTGTGTGTGTGTGTGTGTGTGATGTCTCCTGAGAATATGGAGGGAAAATATTTTGATTTCCCCTGACGTATGGCAGTGATTCCTTTTGCAAATGGCTACCGTTTTCCTGTTGAAATGTCCCTCTTTGATTGCCCATCCTAGGGAGAAGATGACCAAGGCTCATCAGTGGATGTGTCCTGTCTTGTGGAAACCCTCACAGTACTTCTCTGGGAGCTCGAGGACGGCCTGGTGCCTGCCCTGCAGCAGGGGAACACCCCCTATGTCCATGGGGTTTTGTATTTGTACCAGGATTTGGCCAGTACCCAGAAGGCTCTGGAGCTGCTGGGTAAAAGGTGTGTATGACCTCCAAGCCCTGGCCCATGGCCATCTCCTGGCCTGGTGTTGGGAATGCCGGGCATCACTCTGAACCTCCATCAGCTCTGAGGAAAGTAGGGTTTTTCAGAGGAGAACTCTGCCTGGGTGTTTAGAAATCCAAGTAGGATGAGCCCTAGGAGTGTTTGCCTCAGAGTGGTCCTGGGACACAGGCTGGCGATGGCTCTGGCCTTTCCCTGGGGGCCTGTCCCCTCCCTGAGAGGAAGTTCTCTGCCTCAGACCTCACTCTTCTGAGGCCTCAGGAAAAGCAGTTTCCACATTTGGGAAGGAGTCTGTGGGTTGCATCTGGGAGGGTTCCAACCTGCCTGTAGACAGAACAGGGACCCCTGGGGTCAACTGAGAGGGTCCTGGCCCTGAGGTAGCCAGGCAGCAGGTGGGTGGGTTCATTCATGGCTCAAATATATATGAAGCACCTACCTTTGGCAGGCACTTGGCCTATCATTTAGGAATCAGTGCAGACAAACTCTCCCAGCCCTCCTGAGCTCCCATTATTGTCAGTAAGTTAGTCAAGTCCACCAGGCATCTTGACAGATGAGGGACACAGGATATTAGAGGTCACAGCCTCCTGGTATTCTCTAGGTATGGACGCCTCCAGCCATATGTTGAGGAGGAGTACCTTCAAGACAAGAAGTGAGTGGTCTTTGGGCCAAGAGGGAGGGCTGCTGTCTCCAGAGTGGTCACTTGGGGGGCTGTTGTAGAGGATGGCTGGGCAGACCTCAGGGTCTACCCTGTTGTTTCCCAGCAGAGGACAGAGGTCTGGGGCTTACTCTGTAGAAGGAACAAAGCAAGCTGTGGTGGGATTCTGGGTACCCAAGGAAGAGAGGCGTGGCTGGAGCCTCAGAGCCAGGCCCTGTGAGGATCCCTCTCCAGCACAGCCAATCCCAGCTGGATTGCCCATGTTTTCTTGTATAGAGACTGGACAGAAAGTGAGGGGAGAATCCTACCCACACATGTGCCTCACAGTTTTGCCCCCTTTGCTCTGCTGCATGTGACCTGCTTGGACACTCTCTGGGAAGCTCCCCATGCAGGGGGCCTTGGGAGGTTCCAGCTGAAGGAGAGGCCCTTTACATCATTATCTTCCAGTTGGTACAGGTGGTGACCCAAGCTGCCATCCCATTCTTTCAAAGTCAGCCATCTTCCCTGGCAGCTACATAAAATTCACACACACACAAATGCCAGAGGCAGGGGGTCAAGAAACGATTAGACCAGAAGCCTCCACTTCTCCTAGAATGTTTTCTCGCTGCCCTAGTTCTAAAGTCCTTGAGGGCACCTCCCACGTGTGAGCACCTGCGCATTGTGCCAGATGCCCCACCACAGCTATCCGCCTCCTCCCACTAAAACTGTCTATTTTATTTTTTGTGATGGTGGTTTTTTTTAAATGTCTGGGATGGCATTGTAAGTATTTTAGTAACAAACATTTATGTTGACACAATAGTGCTCAATCCATTCACCAGGCTGTGCCACCCCCAGCACTGAGTAGCTGAAGATGGAGAGCCCCCTTAGAGCACAGGGGTCCTGTGGGGCCCCTGTGCATGGAGCCGAGATGACTGCCTAAAGGGTGGTGAGGATTTCAGGGCATTTTATCCCCTACTGTGTTCTGTGACGTTAACTGGGTTAGATGTCATGTGACACTACAAACCCTGTTCATATAAGACAGCAAACTTAATATGTGTCTTCTTATTGCTCCACAGATCATGACTCACCAGAGTAATTAACTGGTCTAACAATATTGAAGTTAGACCAGTTAATTACTCTGTAATGGACTGAACAGTTGGAATAAAAGGAAGAGTTCCAAGTTTTGCATTCCAAATAGAAAGCTGTGCCTTGGGCTGGGCTGTAGCTCAGTGGCAGAGTGCTTGCCTAGAATGTATGAGGCACTGAGTTCAATCCTTAGCACTACAAAAAAAAAAAAAAACCAACTAAACAAAGAAAGGCATGCTGTTGATCTAAAACTATTAAAAGAAGAAAGAAAGAAAGAAAGAAAGAAAAGAAAAAAAAAAAGCTGTGCCTCTTGAATAATTAGTCCCAATGAGAATGCAAGGGAAATGTTCATAAAGAAAATTAAAGTGCTGCTCCAGGGCATAGGTGAATGATAAGAAAGCAAAACAGCTGATAGGGATAAAGTTTTCATAGTCTGGAGAACAGGTGAAACAAGCCACGTTCCCTTAAGCCAAAACCGCATCCAGATAAGGCCCAAACATTAGATTTTTCTGATGCCAAGAGAAGGGAGAAAGCTCCAGAAGAAGTCTGAAGGTGGCAGAATTTGGTTCATGATGTTCGAAGCAAGCGGCCCATCTCCATATAAGACAAGTGCAGGGTGAAGCAGAAATTGCTGATGTAGAAGCTACAGCAAGTCATGAAGAAGATCTTGCTAAGCTATCTGATGAAGACGCGATATGGTTGAGTTTCTCGGTGTCCCCCAAAAGCTCATGGGTGAGACAATGCAAGAAGGTTTAGAGGGGAAATGATCCTGTTATGAGAGCCTAAAGCCAATTAGTGAATTAATCCCCTGGCAGGATGAACAGGTGGCACAGATAAAATGGGGTGCCCACACCCTCCCCAAGCCTGGAGGTGTAGGCGCCACCTGTGGAGGAGTCCAGTTGCAGTGTGGAAGTGAACAGCAGCCACCCTCAACGTTCCACATTAGGGTTCCACATTGGAGGTTCCCAGCAACCAGCGGCATCCCTCTGCGGGCAGGTCGTTCATCAGGGAGCCTAGGCGCCCTAAGGCCCTTTGGGGAGTCCAGTTGAATCGGTGGCTGCATGGAAATAGGCGTCCAAATAGGAGCATCCTCATCCATTGGCGGTGGCGGGAGTCTGCTTCCAGTGCAGTGGAGGTGTTGGCAGCATTTCTGGTGGCCAGGTCGGGACTCCAGTGGCCACAGTGTGGAGCGCTGGCTGTGGCGACAGCGACAGCGTAGGGCAGCGGGCCTCAGAGTCAGAGGGCGACCAGAGGATGGGGTGCCCTGTGCTGTGGCTGCCCCAGGCCACTTGTCTTGCTCCTGGCAGGGCCTGCCTGCTCAGGAAGCAGGACACGGCAGGCGGCGGTACCCACACAGCCCCTGAGGACCTTATGCTGAGCACGCAGGCGGCGCCTGGCACCGGCACTGAGCCCCCCGGGTGGCAGCTCGCCCCACCCCGGGTTCGCCCTGCCCCTCCCTGGGTTGCGGCCTCTGCGGGGGAAGTAGGCCCGCTGCCAGCCGGGGCAGCCTTTAAAGAGGACACCCACCCTCCCCAGCGACATCTCTCCTGGGCTGTGGCCACTGAGAGCAGAGGCAGTGGGGGGTGGGGCTACAAATCCTCCCCCTCAAAGCGCATCCCTGGGGCGGGACAAGAGTGGAGGGCATAGATGGCAGAGGGAACCCCAAGACGTGCCGTCCTTGGTCTTGGTCTTCTGCCACCCTTAGACAAAGAAATGTACTTTAAAAAAATTAATTAGCTCTAATTAGTTGTACATAACAGCAGAATTCACTTTGGTTCATTGTACAGAAATGGAGCACAGCTTTTCATTTCTCTGGTAGAACACGATGTAGAGTTGCACCATATGTGCAGTCCTGCATGTACCTAGGGTAATGATATCCCTCTCATTCCACCCTCTTTCCTACCCCATGCCCATCCCTCCTATCCTTCCCCTTTGCCCCAAGTTCCTCCATTCTTCCCTTGCCCCCCTCATTATGGATCAGCATCCACTTATCAGGGAGAACATTCAGCCTGTTGTTTTTGAGGATTAGCTTTTTTCACTTACATAATATTCTCCAACTCCATCCACTTACCTGCAAGTGTCATAATTTTATTCTCTTTTAAAGCTAAGATTCCATTGTGCACATATACCTCATTTTCTTTATCGATTTAGCTCTTGAAGGACTTCTAGGTTGGTTCCACAGTTTACCTACTGTGACTTGAGCTGCTATAAACATTGATGTGGCTGCATCACTCTAGTATGCTGATTTTAAGTCTTTTGGGTATAGACTGAGGAGTGGAATTTCTGGGTCAAATGGAGGTTCCATTCCACGTTTTTTGAGGAAGCTCCATTCTGCTTTCCAGAGTGGTTGCACCAATTTGCAATGCCACTAGCAATGTATGAGTATACCTTTCCCCCCACATCCTCACCAACACTTATTGTTGCTTGTATTCTTGTTAACTGCCATTCTGGCTGGAGTAAGATGGTCTTAGAGTAGTTTTGATTTGCATTTCTCTAATTTCTGGTGAAGTTGAACATATTTTCATATATTTGTTGATCGACTGTGTATTTTCTTCTGTGAAGTGTCTGTCCATTTCCTTAGCCCATTTATTGATTGGGTTATTTATTCTTTGGGTGTTGAAGTTTTTGAGTTTTTTATATATCCTGGAAATTAGTGTTTTATCTAATGTGTGTGTAGTAAAGATGTTCTCCCACTCTGTGAGCTCTCTTTTCATATTATTGTTTCCTTTGCTGAGAAGAAGCTTTTAAGTTTGAATCCATCCCATTATTAATTCTTGATTTTATTTCTTAAGTACAGGGTCTCTGGTCTAATTCCTAGGTCCTTGATCTACTTTGAGTGTTTGTGCAAGGTGAGAGATCGTGGTTTAATTTCAGTCTGCTACATATGGATTTACAGTTTCCCCAGCACCATTGTTGAAGAGGCTATCGTTTAGCTAATGTATGTTTTCGGCACCTTTGGCAAGAATGAGATAACTACATTTATGTGGGTTTTTCTCTGTATCTTCTATTTTGGACCATTGGTCTACATGTGTATTTTGGTGCCAATAGCATGCCGTTTTTGTTACTACAGATCTGTAGTATAGTTTAAGGTTTGATATTGTGATGTGTCCTACTTCACTCTTCTTGCTAAGGATTGCTTTGTCAATAAGGATTTCTCTGTGTCTATTTTTCCAAATGAATTTCATGATTACTTTTTCTATTTCTATGAGGAATGTTATTGGGATTTTAATTGGAATCACATTAAATCTGTATAAGGTTTATGATAGTGTGGCCATTTTGACAATATTAATTCCATGAGGGAGGAATTGGAATCAGGTACCTGCTCAAAAGGGGAGGGATCCGATAGCCATGCCCACCTCAAAATGGCAAGGAATGCTTTCCAAGATGTAGTCGGTGTGCTTCCAGAGCCGGGGTGTCTGGTGATGTCAGGGGAACCGATGGCCTTGTGCTGTGGGGAGGTAGCAGCTGAGTGACCTGCGTGGGAGTGGAGCGAGTCTCGGCGGTCTGCAGATGTGTTGGTAGGTGGTTCTGCTAAGGCGCTGGCCAAGTCTTAAGTGAACTGCAACTTTGGCTTTGGGTCCTGCTCGGACACTGAGGCCCTGAGTCCTGCGCGAGGTCACAGCGCTGGTCATTTCTGTAGAGAGAAGCTGTACAGGGGCCTCTAACACTCTCAAGAGATGCAGAATTCCTACTAGGAGAGATCTGGATCACAGAGCAACACAGATGCTGCTTCCCTCTGGTCCGCCATCTTTGAAAGTCTTTTCAATTTCTTTCTTTAGTTTTCATTGTATAGGTCTTTCATCTCTTTTGTTAAATTTATACCCAAATATTTCATTTTTGAGGCTATTGTGAATGGGATAGTTTTCCTAATTTCTCTTTCAGAGGGTTCATCACTAATAGATAGAAATGCATTTGATTTATGAATATTGATTTCATATCCTGTGACATTGCTGAATTTGTTAATATTAGAAGTTTTCTGGTGGAGTTTTTTTTGGATCCTCTATGTGTAGAATCATGTCGTCAGCAAATAGGGATAGTTTGAGTTCTTCTTCCCCTATTCCTATCCCTTTAATTTCTTTCATCTACAGCTCTGTCGTGTAGTGTAAGCTGTAGTGGAGTTTAAACAGCAGTATAGTTTAAACTCTGGCTAGAGTATCAGGGACTATGTAGAGTAGAAGGTGAGAGAGGGCATCCTTGTCCTGTTCCAGTTCTGAGAGGAAATGCTTCCCATCAGAAATGCACTTTGAGGATGAAGAGGTCCTAGTTCCTCTGCTCTCTCCCCCCACAGCCCAGGTGGGATGTCTCTTAGGAAGGTGGGGGTCCTCTCCCAAGGCTGCCCCACCTGGCAGATGGCCTAGTTCCCCTGCAGAGGCCACATCGGGGATGGGGCGAGCAGCCACCCGGCGGGCTCATGGCCAGTGCCAGGCGAGGCAGGTGTGGGCAGCCTAAGGTCCTCAGCAGCTGCCTGGGTATTGCCACCCCCCTCGTGCTGCTTCCCGAACAGGCCGCTCAGCCAGGACCAAGACCCAGGGCCTGGAACGGCCACTGCAGAGGCCACTCCAGCCTCTCGTCGCCCTTCCACTCTGAGGCTCACTGCCCTGCGCCCTCGCTGCCGCCGCCAGCCTGGAGCTCTTCACTGTAGCCACCGGACTCCCCACATGGTCGCCAGATGCCACTGCAGCAGGATTCCTGTTACCCCAGCAGGATGAAGATGCTCACCACTGGACGCCTCTGTGTCCTCAGCCCCGTTTCCAGACTCTACTGGTGCTGCCGCCACCGTGCAGCAACCAAACTCCCAAACCCCAGCTGGACTATGATGCTGCCCACCAAGGGCCCAACGTCAATGCCCTTCACCCCCCGCCATGATGCCTGACTCCAGTGCCCCATGCCGGCTCCCGGATGAAGCTGCATGTTGCTGCTGCCACCACCAGACTCCATCATGGACGCAAGACAGCGATACTCAGCACTGGATGCCCACTTCACCCACTGCAGCCTGCCGCAGTCTGGCTGGGCACAAATGCCGCAGTCTGGCTGGGCACACAATCACGAGCCACCACACAGCTTGTAGATTCAAACAGCAACTCTTTATTCCCGAACTCACACCAGCCGTCTACAATCACGTTCTGGGGAAATCCACGTTCTCTGCCCAAATCCACGTTCTCTGCCCAAATCCACCTCCACTGGGCTTCTATCTCCAAAATATACTGTCTAAATCCCGTGAGAACTCAAGGGGAACTCAGGCAGCAGGATACGCCCTATTCCCAGCAGGAATAATCTTAAACCTTAAACCTGGAACCTAAACTGGGAACGCCCTAAACACGATTATCTTAAAACCGGGAACACCCTAATCTGCCTTGGTCCTTGAGCAAGGTCACGTACATTCAATGTCACTGCAACATGGGGTACGCTGGCAAGGAAATTGTCATACCTACTTGGCTAATGGCTCCCAGCAGCAGCCAGACTCCTGTGGCACTGCAAGACAGAAATGATCATGGCAACATCCCTCTGTTGTCACCACGGCAGCTTCTGGACTCTTCTGCTGCCACCGCCACTGTGAGTATGCAGCAAGGGATCTCCCAAACTGCAGCTGGATGCCAACACCTCAGCTGTTGCCACCCCCACGCCAACTCTCAACTCCGGACCTCCCTCGCCTGATGCCCGACGCCTGAAGCAGCTACATGTTGCTGCTGCTGCCACCAGATGCTACCACTCCATGAGGCCTCTTCAGTGATTCCATCCCAAAGATGCTGCTGTGCTGCCCAAGACCACAGAAGCTGGGAAGTTGGGTAGTCTCCATCGCAGTCGCCTCATCAGTGCCCACCGGTTGCTTCCTGCCTTTCCTCCCCCAGGACCACCCACCAGTCCTTCTGGGCCCTTGAGTAGGAGTTGTGCTGACTCAGGGAACTCATCCAAGGAAAACAAGTGAGTACTTTAAACAAAGGTTGCAGTCCTCACAGCAGGCAGTGGGCGGGGCTAGGTGGGTCCAGCCTGCTGGTGAGGGGGCAGAGGTGGAGCTACTGGCCTCCTCTGGACCTTGACCCTGCGGGGCAAGCTGGAGAGGGATCTCTGGCTGCTCTGGGAGTCCAGCCGGGAAGCAGCTTCCTAACTCACCCTCACACTCCTCTCTGAAGAGGACTCTGGATTCCAGAGAAAGCCATCTGGGCTCTTGGGCTCTGGGCAGTAGTATGAGCCAGACTGGACAGACTCCACCCACCTGGACTTGGGGAAAAGCCCCCTCTTGGGAAAATACCCTCCTAGAACTACCAAACTTAGTCTGACATTGGCTTCTTCCATGAGATTATCAAGAAAGGAAAAATATGTTACCTAGTTTTGTCTTGCAAAGGGTAGTGTGGGGAGAGGCAAAGGCATCAGAGTTGGTAGAGCTGAATTCACATCCCTTTTAACTGGGTGACCTTGTCCAGGGTCCAGAACTAGGTACAACCTTGGTTTTGCATCTGGTAAAACAAAGATGGTGAGGATGATAAGCTATCACCATCTGTCATAGCTGGAGACCTAATGCGTGGTTCATAAATCTGACTATTCCAATAACTTAAGAAAATGACAAAGAAGGCACACAACCACACAGAATTACCTTTTCAATAATCCGGGGGTGGCTCTGTGAACGTAAGGGCCCATGGAAAGACATAGAACCACTGGAATTCTTTATTGTTACATAGGAGACACACAAGGGGAGTTTCCATAGAACATTTTATCCCCAAAAGGGCAAAGGGGTCGGAATACAAGGGAACAGATGAGTGTAACTCAACCCCAGTGGGTGATGCCTACACCTGGAGCCATGCCTTGTTATCTGAGCTGGGGTGACGCCCACATTACTGCAACCTGGCACTGCCCTGCCAGACTGAATGCAATAATTGTTCAGAACCCGGTGCATCAGGGCTTAAAGGCGTCTGCATCCAAGGCAGCTCCCGACAATAAGCCATGGGCAAATCAAGTTGTTCTGCACTACCTCACCTTGGGAGCCAGGTAGGCATTCAGCAATATTTCCATGCAGAAATATATTCTCAGACTAAAGGTGACACACCTAGAAGTGCACCTTTGGATGACAACTGACCTGTGAGGTAGGGAGTTGAAATTTACATCATGTTTTTAGAGGAAATAATAATATATGGAAGGTCATAAACCAAAGCATGAAATGTTGGGTCAGGCTCATGGAATTAAAAGCTGTTTTCAAATTTGTTTAAAGTTACATTGAGATAAATCTATGTAGTTCAAACCTTCCAGGATATCCCCCACCTCTGCCGCACACACAGGGAGCAGTGTCCACAACTTTTTTGCTCCTCTTTACAGTATCACCAAATGTATGTGTGTGTGTGTACACACACACACACACACACACACACACACACACACACACATATATATATATATATACTCGCACACATATACATAGTGTATTATGTAATATTTTGTCTTTTTGGTTTGTTTTTAGGCTGTCTGTAATAGAATCTCATGTCCATTCTTTTGCTCCCCTTCAGCTGACCATCAGGAAGAAGGAAACAGCAGAGAAGCTTGAGGATCAGAAGGACACTAGCCCTGCTCTGGTCACCCTGGAAGCTGGCTAGCCTGCACACACCAAAGCTTGAGGAAACAGCAGCCCTGCTTCAGCCACTTGAGGGCTGGCTGATCAATGCAAGGAGGAAAATAAACTAAGCAACAGGACAAATGGACTGTTTCGTCCTGTAAGAGGGCTCCCATACTGTGGTGCATTGCCACCCCTTACTTCTGTCATATGCACAGTCCTCTCCTTGGTCTTTACTACAGGACTGACAACCACCAAACACACAGCTAACCCATAATGGGGGGCGGGGCAAGGGAAGGTGGGAGGGACTTTGGATTGGGCAGAGGGGAGTGTGGGAGGGGAGGGATATGGGAGTGGGAAGGATGGTGGAATGAGGTGGATTGTATTAATCTATGTACATGTATGATTGCAGGAATGGGGTGACTGTGCACTGTGTCTAACCAGAGAAATGAAAAGTTGCCTCCATTGGTGTTTAATAGTCAAAATGCATTCTGCTGTTATATATAACTAATTGAAAAAAATTCATAAAGGACTAAGGCTTAAAAGGAAGTCTGGACACACCCCAGCCACAAAACTAATTAACCCCTACAAACCCAACACATAAAGATCCAAATCACAGCAGAGAGGAATCATCGCTGCCCTGGGATGGGGATCTCCCGAGGGCCCCGGCAGGTGAACCCGGCTCATCCATCCTTCCCCCATTGCCTAGGTGTGTCCAGAGCTGCCCAGTCCACTGGGGCTGGGAGGAGGGTGCCACCTCCCCACTCAGGTACATTGGATGGTACCCGATGGTCTCAGGTTTGGACCGCGTCTCTCCATCTAATGTCTTTTAAAAGTCTTTGACCTCCTCCTTCATCCCTTCAAGCCTGTTCCCCTCTTCCCATGGATCCCTCCATTCACTGAATGCCTGATGAGCCCTACAAGAAGGTGGGTGCAGGCTCCTCATCTCAGGAAGCTCCCAGGGAGTCCCCCGTTCCCAGTTGCCTGAGGATCTGTTGGGGCTCTCTGCCTGGGTTTTGGCTGACGGAGCGAGGATAGCCGTGATGTGCCCCTTCCAGATCTGGAGCTCAAACCACATGGTTTCACCCTCTCCTTTCCACTGCCATGGCAACCACAGTGGCTTTGTGTGCAAGACGGAGTCACTACAAGCTGAAAAGGTCTGAACGTCCTGGTCCCACCTGGAGGAGAGCCACCTGACCCATATTGCACTGTGTGACTTGAGCAAGAAAGTATCCTGGGAGCCGGGGACGTAGGCCAGGGGTAGAGAACATCTGTGGGGCCCTTATCTCAGTCTTCAATGCTGGGGGGAAAAGGAGGGGGGACAAAGAACAAGAGGGCTGAGGAAATAGCTCAGATGTGGAGCCCTGCCTAGCAGCTCAAGGCCCTGGGTTTGGTCCCCAGCACTACAAGAAAGAAGAAAGAGGAGGAGGAGAAGGAGGAGGAGGGAGGAAGAAAGAAAAGAAGTTACCCTGCATTGTGTTTAGCCACTGAAAAGCTGGGGATGTTTGTTACAACAGCTGGGATGCTTGTTACTTATCCTAATACAGGCAAAAGGAGCACCTTGACTTCTGTGGCTGGGTCACAGCGTCTGAGAGGGCTTCTTGCCAGGCAGTATATGACCACTGAGGCCTAATACTAGCTGGGAGATGGCATGAAGTCAGAGAAGGGAAAAGATACCCAAAGCCCAAATGCCTGACATTCAGTAGGTGTTCAGTAAAACTGGTGGCATGAGCAAAATACACGAGAACATTAGAAGAGCTTTGTAATGGTGGCCAATGTTGCCGGAGGCCCAGAAGATGAGCAGGGTTCGGGTGGGGTGGGAGTAGAGACAATCAGCCTCAATTAGCCTGGGAGTCCATACCTACAAGTGAGAAAGGGCAGGCCCTGTCCATGGGTCCGAGGAGAGTGAGCAGTCACTGGTGCCCTAGAGCAGTGGAGATGAAGCTGGAACTTGGAGGCTCCCCAAGGCCAAGCTGAATACTACAGTCTGAGGTCTAAAAAGTGTTTTCTTCTTCTTCTTTTTTTAATATTTATTTTTTGGTTAGACACAACACCTTTATTTTGTTTATTTATTTTTACATGGTGTTGAGGATCAAACCCAGGGCCTCGCGCACGCTAGGCGAGCGCTCTACTGCTGAACCACAACCCCAGCCCTAAAAAGTGTTTTCTTTGCAGTGACAGGGGTGGGCCCCAGGGCCTAACACATGCTAGGCAAGTGCTCTACCAGTGAGCAGCACCCCAGCCTAAATGACCTTATGTTTGTCAAAAGTAGCAACGATCACAGCCTTTGGAGTGGGCTCCAAAGGGGTGTGTGTGTGTGCGCGTAACAATCTATTGGGATATATGTGTAAATAATAAAATTCCTATTGACATTCTTCTTATGCCTTTAAGAGCTTGTTCTCTGGTGTATATGATACTACTGAGGCTCAGAGAGATTAAGTAACTCATCCAAGGTCCACAGCTAGTAAGGGTGCCTGACTCCAAAGCCCAGCCATGCTCTTCACATGCAGAGTCCTGTGCAGACAGGTTAGGGGTTGGATGGGGACAGAGGCAGGCCTAAGGAGGGGCCTTGGAGGAGTAGATACCTGGCGGCTCTGGAAGCCTCTTCTGTAGCCCATTGTGAGCAGAGGTCGAGAAGCCCGCCCCAGCCTGCTCCCTTGCACCTCGGGGCCTGTCATGAGGAGCCAAACAGACAGATTAGATCAGTCCTGGCCTGTGGCCAGCCACCCAAAGCCTCTTAGCTGGTCTTGGGCAATTCATCCTTACCTCTGTGAGCAGAAAGGGTAGGACAGGGGGCTGAGAGGTCAGAGTGGGGTGACAGAGTGGGAGAGGACAAGGTGTCACCCAGACTCTGGTGACAGGTGGCAGCTGGCAGGGGTAAACTGGCTTCTCTGCCATCTACACAACTCAGCTTCCAACCCCTGTGGCCTAGGGAACCCAGGTGTCTCACATTCCCGTGCTTCTTTGCGCTGTGTTCACAATTCATGCCTCTGATTCATACTACTAAAAGAACTTTATTTTTTAAATTTTATTTTTCAGAAATAAAATTGTAGCCAGGTACTGAGGCGCATGTGTGACATCCCAGAGACTAGAGAGATTGAGTTAGGAGGATCACAAGTTCAAGGCCAGTGTGGGCAACTTGGCCAGACCCTGTCTTAAACAAACTAAAAAAGGGCTTGGGCGGAGGTAGCTCAGTGGCAGAAGGCCCCTGGGTTTAAGATTGTAGGCAGGGGGTGTAGCTTCATGGTAGAGAGCTTGTCCGGCATGCACAAGGCCCTATTATTGTGTTTCTATCCCAAACATAATAATAATAATAATAATAACAACAACAACAAAAATTGTAATTAAAATATGCCTACAGAAAAATGCATCCCAGGGGCTGGGGATATGGCTCAAGTGGTAGCGCACTTGCCTGGCATGCGTGAGGCACTGGGTTCGATCCTCAGTACCACATAAAAATAAAGATATTGTGTCCACCTAAACCTAAAAAATAAATATTAAAAAAAAAAGAAAAATGCATCCATAAGTAGAGTTTGGTGACTTTTTACAAACCAACACATCCAAGTGTAACTAGAACTCAGAACAAGGAACAAAATATTTGCCAACCCCCTCCTGTCCTTTTCTAGTCACTACCCTTAATCAGCAGCAGGCACCTGACTTCCAGGTCATTAGAATTAGTCATTAGTCACTAATTAGTTTTGCCTGGTTGTTGGTGAGGCGTGAAGCCAGGGCCTTGCGCATGGTAGGCACGTGCTCTACCCTAAGGGGCACCCCCTGTCCCGGCTGGGTCTGGTTTTGAACTTCATGTAAGTGGAACCACCCAGCCTGTGCTCTTCTGTGTCAGGTTCACCTTGCTGCACACTAGGTTTGGGCCGTGTAGTACTCCGGGGCGTGCACACACTGTGTTTTATTTATCTGTTCTACTGACGGTGGACGTTTGAGTTGTTCCCAGTTTTTGCCTGTCCGGGGACAGCTGCTTTGAAACGGTTGTGTTTCTCTGCCTTTCTGTTTGAGTACATACCTCGGGTACGCTTGCGTCCACCTCCAAAAAAGCTCTCTCTGTTTTAAAAGAAAACCTTCCTTGCTGTTTGTTTTTGCTTAATCAGCTTTCTTGAGGTGTAGTTAGATATAATAAAATGCACCCATTTTAACTGTACCCCTGGCAACCACTGATGTGGTTTCTATCCTTGAGCATTCGTTTGGCCTATTCCTGAGCTTCCTATGAAGGGACTGTAGGGTAAGTGGGCTGTCTGTCTGGCATCTCTCCTTGGCACCTACCATGCCATCTGCATCCTGGCCTGTAGTTATTGCTCCTTTTTATGGTACACATTATGCAAATGCATCATGGCTCATTTATTCATTTCCCCGTGGACAGATGTTTAGAGTGTTTCCAGCTTGGCTATAATAAACAACGCCGTGACGGTCACTCCATCATTCCTGTACCAGACCTGGTGTTGGGCATGTGTATTCACTGCTCCTGGGCAAATACCTGGGAGTGATTGCTGGGTCGTAAGGTAGGTGTATAGTCAACTTTATAAGAAACGGTCAGACTGTTTTCCAAAGCCTTGGGCCACTTCAACCTCTCATCAGCAATGGATGAGAGGCCAGCTGCTTCCCAGCCACGCCAGCACTTAACTTTGCCATTTATTTCAGTTTAGCCATCCCAGTGGGTCTGAAGGGCTAGCTAGCTTATGGAAGCTTGTGTGTGTGTGTATGTGGCAGGGATTGAACCCAGGGGCGCTTAACCACTGAAGCACATCCCCAGCCCTTTTTTGTATTTTATTTTTTTTATATTTATATTTTAGGGGTAGATGGACACAACACAATGCCTTTATTTTTATGTGGTGCTGAGGATTGAACCCGGGTCCCGCCCGTGCTAGGCGAGTGCTCTACCACTGAGCCATAATCCCAGCCCCTTTTTTTGTATTTTATTTAGAGACAGGGTCTCACTGAGTTGCTTAGGGCCTCGCTGAGTTGCTGAGGCTGGCTCTGAACTCTCAATCCTCCTGCCTCAGCCTCCTGAGTCGCTGGGATTATAAGTGTGTGCCACTGTGCCCGGCCTTATTGGGACTTTAATTTGCATTTGCATGTTTTCCTGTGCTTCTTGGCCATCTGAGCCTTTTCTCTGGGGGATGGTCTGATCAAGCCTTCCTTATTTTATGTCCCCATCATACGTTTCATAGCCGCTGCCTCTGCCATCTACAACCTCAGCATTTTTTCGTTTGGAGTAACTAAAAAATTCTTCAAATTTGCCTTCCTCATTCCAGGGACTTCTCGGTTGTGCCAGACAAACCTTCTTAAACACCACAGTACACACCTCACTCCCTTGCTCTAAGACCTGCTACGGCTCCCCAAGTCTTCAGGGCCAGCCCCACTTCCTCATCTGCCATTCAAGGCAACTCCAGCCCCTGGCCTCAGCCTGTCTCTGCCGCCTTCCTTCCATTGCCTTTTCTACTGATCAGTAGAATATCTTGTCTGCTTCTTTCTCCCCCAGGGTTAAGTCTGCTCTAAATCAAGTCTGCTTCTCTGCAGGGAGGCTGCCTGTGAGCCCCACCCCACGGGGCTTCCTGGTTCCTCTGAGCATCTCTCCTGCTCTGCTGCTGGTTGGCACTCACTCTTTCTCCTTCTTCTTTTTCTTCAGTATTGGGCAAGTGCTCTATCACTAAGCTACAGCCCTGGCTCTTATTTTATTTTGCCACAGGGTTTTGCTAAGTTGTCCAGGCTGGCATCGAACCTAAGATCCTCCTGCCTCGGCCTCCCTGGTAGCTGGGATTACAGACCTGTGCCACTGTGCCCTTTCTTTATTTATTAAAAAAAATTGGGGTGGGGGGAAGGGATGGGGATGTGGCTCAAGCAGTAGCTCGCTCGCCTGGCATGCGTGCGGCCCGGGTTCGATCCTCAGCACCACATACAAACAAAGATGTTGTGTCCGCCGAAAACTAAAAAAATAAATATTAAAAGAAAATTCTCTCTCTCTCTCTCGTCTCTCTCTCTCTCTCTTTAATAAAAAAAATTAGTTGGACAGCATGCCTTTATTTTGTTTATTTTTATGGGGTGCTAAGGATTGAACCCAGTCCCTCACATGTGCTACGCAAGCACTCTGCTACTGAGCTACAGCCCCAGCCCCTATTTATTTACTTTTTTTCTGGTGCAGGGATGGAAATTTTGCCCCCTCACAGTACAAGCTAGATGTCCAGGGAGAAGCGGGCCTGGAGAGGGGCCTGTTGGTACCAGGAAGTTCCTCATACACATGATAAAAGTGTGGGCTTCTCCTTATAAATGTGTGGTACCAATATTGTATGTGAATATGCTTATAAAATCACATATATCTCCTCAAAAATTCTAGCATGTTGTGGGGGGAGAAATTCAAAGGTGGGGTGGGATAGGGAAGGAGAAGGGGGGCTTTCCCCCCTGTCTAAGAACCTTTGATGTGCACCAAAGATTATTGGATTTGAAGGAGATGTCCTGGATTTGAGCTCTAGGTCTATCCTTTTGTAACTGGGTGTCAGGAGATCAGTTCGTTGACTAGGGAGGATGAATTAAGTTAAAAAATAAATGGGAAGAGGTCATCCTTCCAGAACTGTGGGGAACAGGCAAGATCTTCCCATGTGAAAGTCAAGGGCAAACCCTAAAGAGCCCATGTATGCATTCAGAATTGGTTTACTTAGGAGCCCTTGGCACACCGACCTGGTGAAGAAACCTTGTCTTTTAGGAGGAGCAAGCCAGGGAAGGAAGCAAAATCACCTCCCCTCCTCCCTCTCCCTCCCTCACAGTCCCCTCTTCCCAAGGGCCTCCTGCTGAACACGCTGCTGTCCTCTCCCGTCAGACTTTATTTTAAAAAAGGCTTCAATGTTAAACTGGGGGGAAAGTATAACAAAGAAGAAAAATGCAGAGGACTCGGTGATGTACAGAGGGAAGTCTGTAGAAGTCAGAGGCTTATCTGCTGAAGACCCAGGTCGGCTCCAGCTCTGCCAGGCGCTGGCTGGCCCTGGCCCGATGGGAAGGGCTAGGACAGGTGATTTCAAGTCTCAGGGGCATTGTGGAGGTCCTGGGTTCAGATCTGGGCACCTCGGGGTGAGTCTAACTGCCCCAGAATCCCAGCGAGTCTGTCCACTGACCCGGGAACTGACATTTGAATAGGTTTTCTTCATAGCTATTCATCCCCTCTCCCAACACATTACCAGCCTGGGCAGTCAACTTTCCATGGGTCACCTCTACCAAAGCCACATTCAGAGGGGACCCCACTCCCTATCCTGGGAGGAGGGAGTCCTTGTACTTTCTACTTCACAAATTCATAAATATTTATGGGCTAATCACTGTTTCAGCTTCTGGAGATGCCGCTGGAGCCAAAGCGTAGGCAAGGAAAGCCCTTTGGCATCCAGCGTCCCCTGTTGGCAGACTCAGGAAGGAAGACAAAGACCCCTGTCCTGTGGGAGTGGGGTGGGCTGTTCAGTGCGATTAAGAGAAATCTTCACTTTCTGGGCACCAAACACCAAGAAAGGGAGGGAGTTGAGATCGGTGGTCAGGGAAGTCATTCGGGAGTCTCCACTGAGGTCTCTGCCCTCCCCCAGCCCTGCCCCCTCTACCCCAGGCTGGTTCTCGCTGCAGGGTCGCCTCCCCAGCTGGAGCATCACCTGGGCTCCTCCCGAGGCGGTTCTAGTGCAGCGCGCGGGGAGGGCGCACCGGCCGGACCGGGTCTCCATTACGCGCGCCAGGAGGCGCTGGAGTGCCCACACTCCGACCCTGGGGGCTGTGGGTGTCCCCGGTTCTGCGGGTGACTCCGCCCCAGCCCGCCCCCGCCCGCGCTCCCGCCTCGCCTGTGCTGCAGCGCACACGCCCAAGTCCTCCTCCAGCGTGCGCCCAGGGAGCCCATGGAGCTGGCGCGCGGCGCGTCCAAGGGGGATGGTGGGGCCGAAGCGCTGCTGGGTGAGCTGGAGGGGCTGGTGCAGGACGTGGTGAGGGCAAGTTCCTGGTGGGAGCTCCACGGCGTGGACTGTGCCATCCTCGCACTCAGCCTCCTCGCCTTGCCAGCCGGTAAGGGACCTGGGGTCAGGGACAGAGGGACAGGGACGGGCTGCGGGTGGGGGTAGGTTGCGGCGGAGGGTGGTTGTGCTTGCAGGCGGTGCTGCAGCTGGCCTGCAGTGGAGAGGGGAAGTCGGACCTGTGCCGGGGACCCTAGGCTGAAGGGTCACACCTTAAGCCCCAAAGTTGGCTTAGAGTGTCCTGTCCTGTGACTCCAGAGGAACTGGACTCACACATGGGAGAAAGTCTGATAGCTTGAAGGTGGTGGAGGGGAAAGTGGAGAGGAGTCAGGGAGGGCTGGGGAGGGAAGAGGTGGCCATGCAAAAGGGAAGAATGTTCTACTGAGGACACCAGGGAATGGGTGAGAGGAGTGGGGAGAGGGCCTGAGGTTTCCCTGGAGCTCTCATGGTCTGGAACTCTGTGATACCTGACCTCCATCTCTGCTCTGTTTGAGGGCTCAGCAGGGAAACCTCAGCAGATTCAGGACCCCTGAAGTTTCCTTGGCAAGACCCTGGGGCTCTATTTCATTCCAAATCCTGTAGGGAGAGCCAATCCATCCCCCTCAGGTCATGGAAGGTCCTGCCTCACTCCTGCCTGTGGCAGCCCCAGGGCTGGGCCCCCTGTGGCCAGGGATTCTGGGGTGGAGTATTTAGGCCCAGCTCTTCAGGAACTGGAGAAAGACCCTGTTCCCTTGTCCCCTCCTCTGTGCAGGGTTCCTGTGCCTGTCCTCTGAGAATGTCCTGGTCTTTGCCATTGGCATCACCATCTTGGGCGTGTGCCACTCCACGCTCACTGTCAAGGGCAGCCACCTGGCCACTCATGGTGCCCTCACCAAGTCCAAACGCTGGAGCAAGATCTGGTTGCTCTTCTTTGTAGAGGTGAGCCTTGGACAGGGGAGGGCTGCTGTCATCAGGCAAGCAGTCTCACTTGGTGCAAGCATGCAGATGTGTACAGGCATGGATGTGTGTGTGTGTGTGTGTGCACAACCATGCACAGGTTTCCAAGCCCTCAAAAGGGAGTTTGCACCTGATGGGTAGAGAACTGTGTGATGCACATCTGAGTGTCTAGCTATGACAGTGAACTTGGCCTGGGCACCTTCTTTCTCCTGAGGATGTCCACTCACCTCTCTGCAGCACCAGGCCAAGTATGACCAGAGCTTCTTCCTCCTATGAGGACACCTGTGGCTGGCAAGTCCTGTTTTGTGACTGTCTTGGCCCATGGCTGCAATCACTAGAGCCTCTGGGTTTTGCAGTCAGAGTTTAAAATGTGACCCACACAGAAGGGGCAGGGGCAGGTCTGGTGTTTCAGAGTTCCAGTTTGTGGAACTAGATTGTGCCCTTCTGACTCCTGGCCAAGGCCAAGCCATCCTGAGAGGCTCCTCCAAGTCTCCGATGGACCCTCCTCTCTCCTGACTCTTGCTCCCCTGTTTTCCATCTCCCCACTGTTCTGCCTTCTTACCTGGGGGCCAGCCCAGGAAGGCAAAGGTGGGCAGACTGTCCTCTCACAACGGGGCTTCCAGCAGCCTCTCAGAGTCTCTCCCAAACTTGGTCTGTCTTTGCCTCCAGGGGGCCCCTCCCCTAACTACTCAGGTCCTTTATGAATAAATCAGGAAGCTCATAACAGAAGGAGTCCTTTTCTGGCAGGGACTGGTTGCCATGACCTTTAACTCAATCATTAACTCTTTATAAAGTCGTGTAATCTTATAAAACTTTATATGACACACACATAGATCTAATTTCACCCACTGAGTGGAGGGGACATTTCTCACCTGGCTTTCTCCATCCCTTGTTTTTTCCCCTCCTCTTCCCACCAGCACGTTTTCTGAAAGGCTGAGGTCAAGAGGAATCCACAGGTTCCCCATCCTCAAGGTCAATTTCAAAATGTTTCCCTTTCCACGGACCCCTGGATGTGGTCTCAGCCAGACTCAAGGCAAGACTGGACCCTGGGGTCTGGCGCAGAGCCTCACTGAGTTTGTAGCCTGCCAAAGGAGGCAGGGGCAATGTTGGCTGTGTTGCGACATGGCAGTGTCACAGTGCTGGGACCCAAGGGGTAGGATTGGCTATTTTGAGTTTTCAAAGCTGCACTGAGTGCTAGGAACCTGGAGGCGGTTGAGGGTGAGTAGTTTTTGTGGTCTGTGGACTGGCGCAGACAGCAAGGGACTTATTGTACAGATTTGGCCTCAGGGTTCTCACACTTGGGTGAATAGCTAGGTGACCGGGAGGTCCAGGCGAGTTGGAGAAGCCTCAGTGACCCCGATATGCACTAAAACATGAGAACTCCTGACCCTGACTTCCCAGGGCCTCAGGCTGTCATATAAGTAAAGCCAGGAGCCAAGGACACTGTCCCACTGGAGAGCTGTATGGGAGCCAGGCAGCCCCGGGGCTGGGTTCTACTTGCTGTCCACCGTCTTGTCCCCAGGAGCCCCAGACCAGTAGCATCATCTTTGCCTTTTGTCTGTTCAGGCCTGACTGAGCTGTTGGCAGGACTTCCATCAATATTTGTGGACCATGACCATGCAATTCACTTGGGGGCAAGGTCCCTGGAAAAGCTGATTGACAGAAGGTCATGCCCTGGAGGGTCACAGCCTGTGTCCCCTCAGTGCTGGAGAGGGAAGGCTTGGCTACCCACTCGGTGTGTGGCACTGGCTGATTTGCTGTGATGGACCACCAGGCAAGGCACAGTGACTTGCACTCAGGCTCTCAAGTCATGGGGATGAGGTGGAGTCAGTAATGGAGATTTTCGGACCCCAGAGTGTGGCTCTGGTTACCCTCTGGGGAAGGTCCAGTCCCTGTGCAGGAGAGGGGATGGATCAGACCCTCTAGCTGACATGGTGAGGCCACAGCAGTCCTCAGAAAGGTTGCTGGTCTTATGGCCAGGCAGGGGGCCAGGGTTAGGGGCACATCCTTCGCAGCCTCGAGCCTTGGTTGGAATCCCAGCCCCGCTGGGCTGCCCTGACCTTGGGCAAGTTAGCTTGGTCCAGCAGCCAGTGTTAGTTCCTCCTGGAATCAGCTGGAGGGAAGGCCTGGCCTCCTTCCTGAAGCAGGCAGGTGGCTGCAGAGAGCCCACCCAGCCCTCGACTAGGGCCGGGTCCTGACCTGTCTCTCCCCCTGGGGAGGAGAGGTGGTCAGCTGCAAGGGAGGGGGAGCGTTCGTGGAGGAGTTTGATCCACTCCTTGTTTTGATTTTGCTCACTGGCAGGTTGCAGGGCTCGCAGCCGTGTTGGGGACTGGGTTGCATAGCACAGAGGACAAGCCCTGGCGGTCTGGGACCTCAGAGGATACCCGGGACCTTTCCTGGATCCCTGACTGTCACTTCTCCTGCATATCCGTGTCTCTTCCCTGTCATCCTTTTACTGATGGGGCCTGTGTTCTTCCCGGACTTGGACCTTCGGGAGGCTCCATGACTGTAGGGAATCTTGGCCCAGGTTCCTTCCAGGGTCCTGCAAATTCTGCCACCTCAGGCATCCGCCAAGCACCATTGGCTTTGCTGAGCACCAGCTTTTGCTGTGGTTGCCTCAGGATTGACCACTCCTAACCCGGGCGGAACCAGGACCTCTATGACCCAGTGGATCGGGGGAGGGGGTGATCAGTGGAGGAATGGGGGCTTCTACTCCAATTCCCATGCCAGATGAGTTCCCCCAGAAGACCCCCCTCTGGCTCACCTGGGAAAATTCCTCTTCCCTCCTAGTAGCATAGCCCATTCTCTAGCCCTGGCCTCACCCAGCACAGCACCTGGCTCTCCATGCCCTGGGTTATGCCACTGGGACTGCCAGGCATATGCTCAGGGACTGCCAGAGAGGGTGCCACACTCAGTTGGCCGTCAGAGGGTGGGGGCAAGGTGGGGTGAGCAGGCTGCCAGGCTTCAGTCCAAAAGACTGGATTAACTCCTGAAACCAGAGGGTTTTAGGGACTCTCCTACAAGTTGTTCAATAATCCAGGATGCTCCCCTGAGTGGGAGGGAACAGGCTGTACCAGTTACTAAGCTCTTTGTTGTGTCTCAGCTTCAAATCCTCCTTGTAAAGTTGGCTTTGTGCTACGGGGCGGAGTCACAGCTGGTCCACAGGGAGCCCTGCACAGCAGACTGTGCCCTGCAGGGAGGAGTGTCACACAGGAGAATGCCTGTCACCCTCTGCAGGTCCCTTGTGATGGTGAGAACAGCTGAGAACTCCCAGCCTAGACATGGTCTCCATCCAAGCCCCAAGGACTCCTGTTTGAGAAGGAGCAACTGGGCTATTTTTTCCTGGTGCTGGAGATGGAACCTCAGTCTCACACATGCTGGGCACTCACTCTGCCACTGAGCCACACCCCAGCCTCCACTATGACTTCTTATTGTTTTATTTTTTAAAATTTACTTGGTGGGGGGCTGGGGCTATAGCTCAGTGGCAGAGCACTTGCCTAGCATGTGTGAGGCACTGGGTTCAATCCTTAGCACCACATAAAAATGAAATAAATAAATAAATAAAGGCATTCTGTCCATCTACAACTACAAAAAATTTTTAAAAATTAAAAATTAAAAAAATTTAGAGGGCCAACACGGATCTTCAGTACAAAATACAATTTTTATATAAACTTTTTGTTTTAAAAATTATTATAGAGTCGTTTCCCCCAGGGTTATATTTACATAAGTGTCATTTGATGGTGAAACCGAGGAAGCCGTCATTGGTACAGTGTGTGTGTGTGTGTGTGTGTGTGTGTGTGTGTGTTAGTTCTAGGCCATTTTATCACATGTAGCTTCTCAAAATGCACTCTTAACGACCTTGGCATGATTTCCTTAAGAAACCTGAGGCCCAGCCCGGTGATGCACACCTATGATCCCAGTAACTCAGGAGGCAGAGGCTGGAGGATCAAAAGTTGGAGGCCAACATCAGCACTTAGTGAGGCTCTGTCTCAAAATAAAAAGTAAAAAGGGTTGGAACTATCTCAGTGGTAAAGAGCCCCTGGGTTCAATTCCCAGTTACAAACAAAAAAAGAAGAAGAAGAAGAAGAAGTCTGAGACAGGAGGCTGGGGGAGACAGACAGCAGGGCTCTGGAGCAGCTGACATTCAAGCTGGAGCAACAGCAGAATGTGTTGAAGGTGCCAGGGGTGCTGTGAGGACCCTCTGCTCTGGGGGGAGCGTGGCAGGGACGCTGGGCAACATCTGGAGATGCCTCTAACAGTCATGACCGGGTGTGTGGACGTGTGTGAGCATAAGAGTGTGTGCCACTGAGATCCAGTGGGCCCAGGCCGGGGATGCTTGTAAACATCATACAAAGCAAGGACAGGCCCACAAGAAACATGGCCCAGCCCCAAGCGTCAGTGGCGCAGAAGCCCAGAACCCTAGGGAATTTCCCGAAGAGACACCGGCTGGTGATTTCAGACAAAGCCGATACAGGGACCAGGGGATGGGTATGAGAAATAGCACAGTGCTTGAGGGACCCACAGAAATCTGGGGTCACTAGAATCTAGTGGGGATCTTGGAGAAAAGAGGTCAAGGAGGCCCACGTGTCAGGCAGAGGATCTGGGAATTTGTCCTGTGACCAAAGCTAGTTGTCTCCATTAGTAGTTTAAAAACTGATTTAATTGATTTTGTGAATAGCTAACATGATTCTAGAATTCAGAATTTTAAAGGTGCAGGGATAAGTCTTCCTCTCACATTCCATGGCTTATCCCTGCACCTTTAAAATTCTGAATTCTAGAATATTTATTTATTTATTTATTTGTTTGTTTGTTTGTACTCGAGATTGAACCCACTGATGCTCTACCTCTGAGCTACATCCCAGCCCCCCCCACACACCTTTTGCAGTACTGAGGATTGAACCCAGGGGTACTCGACCATTGAGGCACATCCCAGCCCCTAAGTTGCTGAGGCTGGCCTTAAACTTGTGATCTTCTTTCCTCAGCCTCCCTAGTGACTGGGATTACAGGTATGTGCCACAGTGACTGACCTCTATGTTTTATTTGTTAAGTAAATAGTACCTTACAGAATTTACAAACATAATTATAAAATTTTGGCACAATCAAAGCTGGGTTGTGACTGTCACTGTACTGGGTTCGAGGCGGATGAAGCAGTGAGGGCTGGAGGGTGTTGTTACAGGCCAGCAGAGAGATCAGGAGGAATGGCAAGGTGAGGCTGGGGTGCAGGAGCAGGTGCAGGAGGAGGTGCAGGAGGGGGTGCAGGAGGAGGTGCAGGAGGAGGGGCAGGAGCAGGTGCAGGAGCAGGTGCAGGAGGGGGTGCAGGAGGGGGTGCAGGAGGAGGTGCAGGAGGGGGTGCAGGAGGGGGTGCAGGAGCAGGTGCAGGAGGAGGTGCAGGAGGGGGTGCAGGAGAGGATGCAGGAGAGGGTGCAGGAGGGGGTGCAGGAGGGGGTGCAGGAGGAGGTGCAGGAGCGGGTGCAGGAGGGGGTGCAGGAGAGGGTGCAGGAGGAGGTGCAGGAGGGGGTGCAGGAGAGGATGCAGGAGCGGGTGCAGGAGAGGGTGCAGGAGGAGGTGCAGGAGGGGGTGCAGGAGAGGATGCATGAGGAGGTGCAGGAGGGGGTGCAGGAGAGGGTGCAGGAGCAGGTGCAGGAGGAGGTGCAGGAGGGGGTTCAGAAGGGGGTTGCTTGGCTGGGATGGGGGAGGAGGAAGGTGGAGGAGGAGGAGGAGGAAGAGTCAAGGGTGAAGGCCAGGTTTCCAGCAGTGAGCCACTCCTGAGATGGACTCACACATGAAGGGCAGATGGTGGGCACTGTGGTCAGCATGAGTGTTTCAGACATAGGCAGGATGAGAGAGGGGTGGTGGGACGTTGCACGAGCAGCTTGCCTCAGACTGGAGGGGCTCTGGGCTGTGGTCTGTCCAGCTCCCATTCTTCCCTGCAGACCCTCTTGCTGATTCCCAGGGGAACAGCAGCTCTTTCTCAGGTGGTTTCAGAGGGGTAGGGGCCTCTGGGAGTCTGTGGGCCTCAGCAATGGGTTTATCAGATCAAACATAGGATGCTAGGATAAATTTGAATTTTGGGTAAGTAACCTATATTTTTTGTACATGTATATCCCAAATGTCACACACATGGGTGTTTATCCGAAGTTCAGATTCACATTTTCAATTGCTGCATGTGACAGCCCTATTTAGTGAAATACAGGTCCCCTAGCATGAGTCCTCAGGGTAGCTCCCCAGCAGGATTGACATGCATAGTCATGCCACTCCTGGAAGGACAGAGGATCAGTGGTGAGGGCCACGGAGGAGAGCCCCTTGAGTACTTGTCCTGACGGCCCTGGGCTTGCTATGGTTGGAACGAGCCCATCAGGGTTCTCTCCCCTTCCAGGTCCTGACCCTGGTGTTCCCAGGTCTAGCATGGTGCACAGCACTGGTCAGGGATGAGGATGCTTAAGGGAACAAACAACTGTATGAAAGGTAAATAAATGAGAGTTTTGGTGCCCCCTAAGTTTAGCTGAAGATGTCAAGAGGAATTAAACTGACATCAGCCCTCTGAACATTCTGGCCTTTCAGAGCCTGCATGCTTCAGAGGGGAGCTCTTAAATCTTCCTAGGGACAAAGAGGGTGGTGGTTGATATCAAGAAGCAGCACCAGTTGGGTGTGGTGACCACACCTGAAATTCTAGCAACTCAGAAGGCTGAGGCAGGAGGACCACAAATTTGAGGCCAGCCTCAGCAACTTGGTGAAACCCTGTCTCAAAATAAAAAAAAAAATAAAAAATAAAGAGGGCTGGGGATGTGGCTTAGTGGTACAGTGGACTTGGGTTCAATCCCCAAGACTTAAAAAAAAAAAATTAGGGTTGGGGTTGTGGCTCAGTGGTAGCAAGGTGCTGGGCTGGATCCTCAGTACCACATAAAAATAAATAAATAAAATAAAGGTATTGTATCCAACTACAACTAATTTTTTTAAATTATTTAAAAAAAAAAAGAAGTGGAAGCACCAAACTTGAGGCTTCTGGGACTTTCTTGGGTCTGGATGTGGAATCCTCTTGGGCAAGACATTTAAATGACCCTTTATAGCATGAAAACAGCTCATTTTCCAACTAACTCAGCAGGATGTAGTTGTTTGCCTGTGCCCCCAGTGAATGGCAGACAGATTGAGGTGCACCGTGTCCATCTTCCCCGGCTACCCCAGCTCACCCCTTTCTCTCCCTCTCAGGAGGAAGCATCTGAGTCGGAGAGAGAAGTCCACTGTTATAGAAATAGCCTCAAAGCTGTTTTTATTCACATCAAAAGGCAAAATCATTCACCAGCTCTGAAGTGTGTGCTGAGTCACAAATCACATGTCATGCACCTCGCTGTCACCTGTCTCCCCTGCATCTGCAGGCCTGGGCATGTGGCTGAGGGCCCTGAGGGTGGCATTCTCAAGATACTCAGTCTGGATCAGGCTCCGGGCCATTGTGGCAATGCCACTCAAAAGTGTGGTCAGCTACTGTTCTACCGGGAGACAGGGAGCTGGTGCCAGGAAGAAGATCAACTGTCATCAGGAAGACAGCTGAATGCAGCTGACCTTTCCTGACCAAGGAACTTAAACCAGCTGTGCGACCCCCATGGGTGAGGCCTAGGAGTAGGCAGGCCCCCCTGAGACCAGTGGGACTGAAAGACACTGTTACTTGAGTGACTGCCTGCCCTCTGCAGCCTCCTGCAGAATCTGTCCTTGGTGAGGTTACAGAAGCAGAGAGGCAAACCAGCCCCTGGTGCATTGTGTCACCTGAGAGCAAGGTGCCCAGCCTGTTGCTGTGGACTCCCTCACCCTTGGGGTCCTCTCCTTCACAGGGACCCAACAGGTATTGCTGGTTTGACCCTATCTGCCTGTGTCTTCTGTAAAACTGCATACGTGCCCCTCGGTGTCCTTTAGATAGGGCTTCTGGCTACGTTTCAGCTTCTGTTTCGTTCCAGATGAAAGGCTGCTAATTTTCCTTATCTTTCTCCGGCTTCTGCCTCTGCTGCCTGGACCCAGAGCCAGGCTTTGGGTTGATTGCGATGAGCACCTCATCTCCAGAGCAGCTTATCTTGGTTGAAATTGGACTTCAGGGTCCAAATCCCCTCTCTGCCACTTCAGCTGTATGACTTGGGGTTGTGTGGCCTCTCTCTATCTCGGTTTTTCTTGTGTGTGTTGTGGGGAAGAGCGCAGCTGACCCTAGGTTAGGAGTATGTGAAGTACAGAACACTGAGCAAGGTTCGATGTGTTCAGTTGTCTGTCTTTGACCAGCCCACACAGTGGTATTGGGAAACCCTTCAAACAGGCAGGCAGTGTCTTCAATAAAATTAGCAAAATCTTCTGGTCCGGATAAAATATTGGAAGAGGCGTATATCTGCATACTCATTTGCATATATCTACATAAGAAACACCACCACTAGCACCTCTTTTGCATTTAGAAAGACTGTTGGAGCTGGAGTTGGGGCTTGAGAGTTGCTCCCCGTGGTTGAATCCCATCCAGAACCCACGCCAGAAAAGTCACCTCTAGGGAGAAGCTAACTCAGCCTCCACTTGAGGCAACTCACCCGACATTGTGCTGCTCAGGAGGTGCCTCCTTTGACCCCAAGCCACTCCTACACCCCTATCCTTGCTGCTGTGGGCTCAGAATGCAAAGTGGTGTCACGAAGGAGCAGGTGGCTGTGAGTTAAACATAGGCAAGAGAATTGCCATGGCTGCCCACTTTGCCCACCTCTGAGACTCTGGAGGTTGTCTGGGTGGTGATCACAGCAGAGTGGCCATCTAGGAGCCTGACGTCTCTGTCCCCAGATTCTTTACAGAGCCACATCAAGAAGATGATGTCGTTTTGGGTCACCTGTACCTGAGAGTTGATGGTCCAGGCTGATCAGCTTGGGGTGCAGAGAGGAAGGCCCTGGAATTACAGGGTTTGAGGAAGGTAGGGGTGTTCTCGAGTTTCCCCCAGGTCTCACCCCACTCAGCCACGCCTAACACAAATTGGTGTGCTCTCTGGCTCCTCCTCTAGGTGTGCACGGCCTTCACTGCGGAGTTCGGGAAGTTCAGCCACGTCAACATGCACCATGGCTACACCAACGTGGTGGGTCTGGGGGACTCCAGCACGTGGAAGCTGCCTTGCCTCAACCGCTACGTCTACATGTTCCTCGCGCCCTTCCTCATCCCCATCATCACCCCGCTGGTGGCTCTTGGTGAGTACCTGATGGCCTGGGTCCAAGTGCCCTGCAGAGGCCTGTCCCACTTCCTTCCTTTCCCTCCTGGCTTGGTGGAAGCCAGAAGCCTTGGGTTCAGACCTTTTGGTCTCTGCTAGACTTTCTGATCCAGACAACCAGACAGCAGGACACAAGTCCAACTCTAGCTCTGCCACCTACTGGCTGGTGAACTTGCGCAGATAACCTGACTTCTCTGAGCCTCGGGTTCCTCAAAAGCATAATGAGGCCACAGCCAGAGCTTTGTAGATGCACACTGATCATCGTAATAGTTGGCATCACGGGAGCAACACCACGGGGTAGAAGGAGCTTGGGGATGGGTGGCCTTACGTTGGTCATGTTGCTTAGTGGCTCCCTTCCTCATCTAAACAATGGGTGAACACTCAGGCCACCCTCCGCCCTCACTCCCTTGGCCACCAGGAAGCCAGCTGGTGAGGACTCCAAACCTCGCCTGCCCTCATTCCCTGTCTTGCCCTCTGGCAGAGCGGCTGCGGAAGGTGGAGCTGCTGATAGCTCTGCGGACGCTGGGCCTGATTTCCCTGGGCCTTTACTGTCAGTACTGGCTGCTCCTGAACGTGTCCGGCTTCAGGAGCCCCAGCTCGGCCCTGGTCTGCATGCTGCTCATCAGGGCCTTGCTGGCCCATCCCTTCCTCCACGTCAACATCTTCCAGGTGAGGCCTCCCCACCCCTGGCACTGGGGAGTTATGGGGAGCACTCTCCAGGGAGGTGACTCAGGCTGGGAGAGGGAGGGCACAGGAGGAAGCAGCCCCCTTCTGGGGTCCCCTCTCGGTGGCTTGAGTTTTAGGTGAAGAGTTTGCTTGCCCTCAGCCGGCTGCCCTGCCTCATCCGCAGGTGGATTTCCATGTGAGGTGAAGCGAGGGTCCCTGTCAATGCCACGAGGCAGGCAGAGGAAGGAACTGGAGATGGGGGTCTTGGAGGGAGGCCGGGGGCTCCACATTCAGTTCTGGTGCATTCCCACCGGGGTGTCTCCCTGCATCCCCATCAGTGGAGACCCCAGGTTGGAGTTCCCTGTACACTCACCTGGCACTCAGTACAACTGCCATCGATTACTTAATCCCATAACTGTGTCCCGTCTGCTTGTCCTTCTCAAATGGAAGTTTCTGCTCCCCTCCAAGTTCCCTAGACCCGGGACCGTGCCTGACAAGGAGGTACCTGCACATACTCAGTGAAGGAAAAAGCACAAGAGGATGCGCAAACTTGAACTTGAACAATGAGTGGGGTTTTGGCTGGTGAAGAGAACAGGGAAGGTCTCTCCAGGACGAGGCAAAGGCACGGTGCCATGTGGGCAGTCTCAGGCATTCAAGTACCAACGGTGCAGAGGTCCCCAAGCCAGGCCTCCCGTTGTCCAGATGGGAGGAGGCCCAGAGATGGGAGAGACTCAGCTCAGGGCCCAGACTGGGTTGGCATCAGAGCTGAGCCGGAGCCCCACCCCCTCCTGCCTCCACCAGGTCCTTCTAGGTTAGGACTTGGGGGGCAGAGCACACTGGGCCTCTGAGTGCTTGGTGAGGACACCTGAGGCAAGGGGGAGGCCCAGGCCCCACCCCAGGACATGACCACATGTCTGTCACAGCACATAGGGCTGCCCATGTTCTCCCGGGACAAGAAGCCCCAACGGATCCACATGATGACCCTGGGGGTTCTCAACCTGCCCCGGCTGCTGGTGTTGGACTGGGCTTTTGGCCACTCGCTCATCAGTTGCCACGTAGAACACCACCTGTTCCCCAAGCTCTCTGACAATATGTGTCTGAAGGTAGACAAGGGCTGGTCGGGAGGGGCTGGGAGGACATGCCTGGCTGGTGGTGGGCAGTGGTAACCTCTAGGGTTCAGCTGAACCCTGGGTTCCCCAACTGGCCTGGTCAGAAGTCACCCAGGAGGGGCACCCCAACTGACAAGCAGCAACGTGGGTTGCAGATCGGAGACACCTGGGTTTCTTACCAGCAATGGGACTCTGGACAAGTTAATTGAGCCTCAGCTTCCCCATCTGTAAAATGGGATGAAACTGCTTACCTACAGGATTTGAGGATGGACTGAAGAAACAGACCTGAAATACTTGACACCAAGCAGGTGCTTGGCAAAGGAAGCCATGCTTTTCATTTCCCTGTGCCAAGAGGGGCTGTTGCATGGTTGGGACCTCGAGGGAAGATTTGGGGGAGAAATCCTCCTTCCCTTACCCACGAGTAAAGTTGAGGGAGGCAGGAGTTTTCCAACACCTCAGCCCTCAGCCAACGCCCCTGCCCTCCCTGCCCTGAGCATTCTGGACAAGGCAGATGGGAGCTGGGGCTAGGAAGAGGAGACAGCTCCTGGGATGGACAGGCTGCGGCAGTCCCTGCTCACAGCCCCTCCTCCTGCCATCTTCCAACAGGTAAAGCCTGTGGTGTCCCGGTTCCTCCACGAGAAGCAGCTGCCATACCAGGAGGACTCGTACTTGGCCCGATTCCGGCTGTTCCTCAACCGCTACGAGGAGCTCATGGTGCAGGCCCCGCTGATCACTGAGGTGGTGGGGCTGCAGTGAGGGCTGGGCTCCCCTCCCCGGCCCAGCCCTGGTGCTCCTGCTGCTGCTGGTTCTCAGTTGGTGTGCAGTGGTGGGTGGTGGGCGTGGAGCATGGAGGGAACATAAGGAAACTTGGGTGGGCAGTGAGACAGGGCAGCTGATGGGTGCCCTGTGTCCTGGGGGTTGCTTGCCCTGTTTGCTTTTTGGGGATTGGAGGGGTCTCTGGGTGAAAGGAATCTTGGTAACTGGGCATCCTGGGCCTGGCTCCATCTCAGGATCTTCCCCTGCTCCATTTGAGCCTGGCAGGGCAGCAATGCCAAGGGTGAGGTGAAATCCTGTGCCCAAGGCCAACTGGGAGAGGGAAGGGGCAGAGAGCAAAGGTCAACCCCTTAGCTGGGGCCTCCTTGACACCGAGAGAGTGGCACACTTGCTTGACTGCTGCTTCTTCCTCTGCTTTTCAAGGCTCTGACCCAGGGCCCCCTCCCCAGGGAACATGGGGCAGGGTCACTTTTGGCAGACTCCCTAGTTTCTCAGCCAGAGAAGCCTGTTCAAGTCACAGTTCCCAAGGCCCACAGTGTCACTGAGATGAAAGTGAGTATATTTTGTAGGGAAAGCTCTCAGGATAACAGAGGGGAGAAAGTCCCTCAGGGACACAGCTGGGGAAAGAGTATAAATAGATTTGATCGTGACCTTGGCTAGTTCCATGATGTTTAGAAGCACGGGCCTGGGAGAGAGAATTACTGGGAGGTAGCTGAGTCTGGAGGGGGTTATGGGAACCAGTTTGAAGGACAGGTGGCCTTAGAGGAGACAGAAGGAAGAGAGTGGGGTGAGACAGAGGAGCTTGAGGTCAAGAGCTGGGCTTGCAGTGAAAGGCAGCCTAGGGGTGAGGTGGGAACATAAGGAAACTGCTGGTGCCAGACCTGGGAAGAGGCCGAATGTGGGGACCCAATGAGATTCAGCCCGAAGTAGGCAGAATTGAGGGAGGCTGGGAGCTGCCCCAGTTGGGGGCTGGACTGAGAAGGTCTAAGAAAGTGCCCAAACGGAAGCTGAGGGAGAGCTAGAGGAGGCCAGATGTGCGATATGAGACCACAGCAGTTCATTTATGTAGAATTTCCCACTACTGACATTTTACCTGGATAATTCTTCTTGGCTGTCCTATGAATTGTAGAATATTTAGTGGTGCCCTTGGCTTCTATCTACGAGATGCTGGGATTCCAATCATGACAATCAAAAATGTTTCCAAGCTGGGCACAGTGGCACATGCCTGTAATCCCAGTGACTTGGGAGACTGAGGCAAGACTGCAGGTTCAAAGCCAGCCTCAGCAACTTGGTGAGGCCCTGATCAACTTAGATGCTATCTCTAAATAAAAAATTAAAAAGGGCTGGGGATGTGACTCAGTGGTTAAGTGCCCTGGGTTCAATCCCTGGTACGTACACACACATACACATTTCCAAATGTGGTCAAATGTCCCTGGCCTATCGGAGCGCACATCTATAGTCTCTGGTGTGGACTCTGGCACCTCTGCCTTGTAGCTGCTTGGTATCCCTCTAACTCCTGCAGGCCTTCTCCTCTAGCTGTGGCTCTTGGTGCCCCCATAGCTCCTTCGGGCACCCTCTCCTCCAGCTATGGCTCTCATGAGTTCCCAAGCTACTCCTTCCTGGGACTCTTTGGGGGCCTGGCCCAGCAGTCTTGGCTGATGCTCACCCCAGGGTGCTTCTCTGGTCCCTTAACCTTGCTCACACCTCTTTATTTCTTCATTAAACTCTCTTCAATCACTCCTTTTGAACGGGCCATCTGTTCCCTGCTGGGAGGCTCATTGACAGAGCAGAGTTTTGGATCCAAACAGCCCTCCTGGAACGAGGCAGGCTTGGCAGCTGCCCCAGCCTACTGCTTTGCTATATGATGTTGCTTCTCTTTTGAAATGCATTAGCCACACAGAAATGGTCTTAAGGTCTAGGACTGTGATTCATCAAACAGCCAATTCTCCATATGAAAAATGCACTGTCAGGAAAAAGGCCCCACTCTCAAACTCCAGGCTAATGATTAAAACCGTCCAAATACATAACCAATGACTCAGTGTTATTGATCTGGGCCTGAATGGGGTATGGGCAGCAAGCAGCTGGATGTATCATGGGCACCTTAGAAATAAGTCATTTGATTTCTTTGAAGCTTGATTTTCTGTTACTCTGAGGATGTGAGCTGGGAATGATTGTTACTTGAGAAGTGCAGAGAGGTGACAGGAGTGAAATGAAGTGCTTCTAGGGTTTTGCAAATACCTATGGTCTAGTTTACAGAGGTATGTGGGAAGCGACAATATTGATGATAATAACATTTATTTTACATGTAGCAGATGTTTTTAACTGATGTCATCTAATTTTAATCTTCAAAAATTGGTACAATTTCTTCCTCATATTACAGATGGTGGGGAAAAAAAGACAGGGAGAGTAAACTTCTTGATGTTATAAAGCTAATGAGTGACAAAAGAAAGATGTGAACTCTGTGTTCATGCTCTCAACCGCTAGACATACTGCCTCTGACGGGCAGGGAACCTTATAGAGCTTTCTGGGTGACTGATTCTGCGTTTCCACCTTGTTCTCCTGTGTGAATGGATAATCAATGGTTTTATCAGTAAGACAAATCTTTATGAATGTGCATTGGGTGGTAGGCCCTGTTTGAAACTCCAGGGATAGGAGTGAATGAGATTAGGCTGCCCACCCTCATGGAACTTATAGTCTAGTGAAGAGATTATCAAATTCTTTCCATAAAGGGCTAGATAATAAATATTTGGGGGTTTGTGGACTATGTGATCCCTGTCACAGCTACTCAAATGTTCCATTAAAACACAAAAACAGCTAGAGACAATATGTAAAGATATGAAAATGGCTTTACTCTAATAAACTTTATTTATAAACACTGAAACTTGAATTTGTGTAATTTTCCTATATCACAAAATATTTTATGCCACAGTCTGGCTGGGCACAAATGCCGCAGTCTGGCTGGGCACACAATCACGAGCCACCACACAGCTTGTAGATTCAAACAGCAACTCTTTATTCCCGAACTCACACCAGCCGTCTACAATCACGTTCTGGGGAAATCCAAGTTCTCTGCCCAAATCCACCTTCTCTCCCAAATTCACCTCCACTGGGCTTCTATCTCCAAAATATACTGTCTGAATCCCGTGAGAACTCAAGGGGAACTCAGGCAGCAGGATACGCCCTATTCCCAGCAGGAATAATCTTAAACCTTAAACCTGGAACCTAAACTGGGAACGCCCTAAACAAGATTATCTTAAAACCGGGAACACCCTAATCTGCCTTGGTCCTTGAGCAAGGTTAAGTACATTCAATGTCACTGCAACATGGGGTACGCTGGCAAGGAAATTGTCATACTTACTTGGCTAATGGCTCCCAGCATCTCCCCCCTTCTGATTAATGTGGCTTATGGACCGTGCCTGGTAGGTTGTCCAATTCAACATATGGTTCTTACCCGTCATCGGAAAACTGACCTTTAGGCGTCAGCCTCCTGTCTTAGGTTGATACCACTGCAATTGGATCATACCCGTCACTGACTACCGGTCCAGCATAAGCCATTGGCCCCCAAATTTTAGACCATCACTAGCAGAAGGGAGGAGGATACAGAAATGCCACGACACCAAGCCAATTGACGGCTCCTTGGGAAAAATTGCATCACTGGTGACACCATCAGCAAAGATATGTCAGCACTACCACAATTAACATGGGGTGCGCTGGCAAGGAAATAAAAATTGCATCACTAGTGACACCATCAGCAAAGATATGCCAGCACTACCACAATTAACATGGGGTGCGCTGGCAAGGAAATAAAAATTGCATCACTGGTTAATCACTGTCGCAGATGTAAGAATGGCCAAGCTGGAGTTCTGGATATCAGCTGTTATGGATTTGAGTCAAATCATCTTCTTTTCGATCTGTAGAAACTGTTTTAGTTAATCTCTCTGGAATCCAAATGGGCTGCTGTTCTCCCTGTGGAAAAACACAAACAGACCCCCGACTCCAGACAATCACTGGGTCAGGACCTTTCCATTGTCCTGTTAGAATATCTTTCCAAAGTACTTTAGGCTTATGTACATTTTTTGGATACATATGCCTTTCCGCAGCACTAAGTCCTGATGAATCCAAATTTAAAAAGTTTAGAGTAAAAAGCGTTATTTTAAGTTTATCTTTGGGGGATATATACCCCCTTCCAATTCCCTCTTTTTGCTTTAATAAGTATGTTTTAATAGTTTGATGAGCTCTTTCAACTATGCCTTGTCCCTGTGGATTGTATGGGATTCCTGTTATATGAGTAATACCAAATGATGAGCAAAATTGTTTAAAAGAGGTAGAGGTATAGCCAGGACCATTATCGGTTTTTAACTGTTTAGGAACGCCCACAGTGGCAAAATTTTGTAAGCAATGAGCTATAACATCTTTAGTTTTTTCTCCGGCATGAAGGGAGCCCATCAAAAATCCAGAAGAAGTATCGACTGTAACATGTAAATATTTTAATTTTCCAAATTCTGGCAAGTGTGTGACGTCCATCTGCCAAATATGGTTAGGTATCAGTCCTCTAGGATTGACTCCAAGATTAACTTGTGGTAAAAATGTCACACAATTTTGACATTGTTTTATTATATGTCTGGCTTGTTCCTTAGTTATTTTAAAACGCTTTTGTAAAGTATTAGCATTAACATGAAACCTTTTATGAAAATTTGTAGCTTCTTCAAATGTAGAGAAAATATGTATGTCATGTGTAGTTTTATCTGCTAAATCATTGCCTAAACTAAGGGCTCCAGGCAATCCTGTATGTGCCCTAATATGTCCTATAAAGAATGGATCTTTTCTGTCCCAGATTAGACTTTGTATAGCGGAAAACAAAGAGAAAACAGTAGAAGAAGGGGAAATTCTACCAGCATCTTCAAGAGATACTATAGCATTAACTACATACTGACTATCAGAAAATAAATTAAATACAGAATCTTTAAACATCACAAAAGCTTGTAAAACTGCATTAAGCTCTACCTTTTGAGCTGATTGTTTGGGTACTAAAAATGTAAAAGTTTGATCAGGGGTAACTACTGCTGCTGTACCATTATTTGACCCATCAGTGAATATATTTGGAGCATTCATGATAGGTGTTTTTCTTGTCATTTTAGGAAAAACTACAGGATGCTTAGACCAAAAAGACAACAAAGGATTAGATGGTAAATGATTATCAAATGAAACATTAGATTTACACATGATTATTGCCCAAGTATTTAACTCATTAGCTAACTCATCAATTTGATCCATAGTATATGGAGTAATAATTTTATTGGGAGAAATTCCAAACACTCCCTTTGCTGCTTTTATTCCTTTGAGTATTAATTGTCCTACAGCCTCAGGATACCTAGTAAGAATAGTGTTAGGAGAATAAGATAAATGTATCCACAATAATGGACCTTCTTGCCAAAATACTCCTGTAGGAATATTTTTTGTTGGTAGTACAATAAATAATAAAGGCAAACTTATATCAATTCTATCCAAATGTATGTTTTCCATATATGTTTCAATAATTTTTAATGCCTTTCTTGCTTTAGGAGTTAACATGCGGGGTGAATTTGGATCTGATGGACCTTTTAGAATATCAAATAAAGGTCCCAACTCTCCTGTTGGTATACCTAGATAAGGCCTTATCCAATTTATGTCTCCCAATAACTTTTGAAAGTCGTTAAGTGATTTGAGTTGATCTACTCGTATTTGAATTTTTGGTGGACGGACCATGGTTGAGGATAATAGAACTCCTAAATAATTAATTGGAAAATTTAATTGTACTTTATCTATTGCTATCTCTAGATTATAATTTTTTAATAAGTTTGTAAGTGTGGCATAACATTCCAGCAATATGTTTTTATCTTTATGTGCCAATAATACATCATCCATATAGCGAAATATTTGTAGTTCAGGATTTTGATTTCTAAGTGGCTGGATTGCTTTGTTAACATATATTTGACACATAGTTGGACTGTTAGCCATCCCTTGAGGGAGTACTTTCCATTCATATCTCTGATCAGGACCTTCATGATTTAATGCAGGGATAGTAAATGCAAAACGTGGACTATCCTCGGGATGAATTGGAATTGAAAAAAAACAATCTTTAATATCTATAGCTAAAACATGCCAGGTTTTTGGCAAAGCAGACAATTGAGGAATCCCTGATTGAGCAGGTCCCATAACAACCATCTCATTATTAATGGCTCTTAAATCTTGCAATAATCTCCATTTACCAGATTTCTTTTTGATGACAAAAATGGGAGTATTATGGGGAGATATGGAAGGTTGTATATGTCCTTCCGTTAATTGTTGTTTGACCAGATCATGGGCTACTTGTATCTTTTCTTTAGTCAGGGGCCACTGAGGAACCCACACTGGTCTTTCTGATTTCCAAGTAATTTTGATTGTCTCAGTGGCCCTTTCTGAAAATCCAACCCATGTCTGTCTGTTCCTTGATCTATTTGTACTGGTGCTGCTATACCTTGCCCTTGTTTTCCTAATCTTTTTTCTTTCCTAAAGCCTTGTCTAGCTCTAGTAGTGGGCACATTAGGATTGATATTATTTGTTAACGTCAAACCTAATTGATCTAGGACATCTCGTCCCCATAAATTTATAGGAAGATGATCCAATACATATGGCTGTATAGTTCCTTCACATCCTTCAGGATCCTTCCAATCTAATATCATAGAACTTCTATGGGGATTAGTCGCCACTCCTAGGCCTCGAAGCGTTTGAGTGGCTTGTTGTAATGGCCAATGTTTTGGCCATTCTTGACGAGATATGATGCTAAGGTCAGCTCCTGTGTCCAGTAGCCCATTAAACTCATGACCTTGAATATTTAGTTTTAGCATTGGGCGAGAATCTAAATTTAAAGACAACATAGCCCAATCTACACCTGTGGAGCCTAATCCCCTGGAACCTCTTTCTACACTATGACTAGGAAATTTATTATGTAGGCTGGGTATTATTAACAACTGTGCTATTCTATCTCCAGGTGAAATTACTGATATACCTCTTGGAGAACTAGCTATAATTTTTATTTCACCTACATAATCGGGATCAATTACCCCAGGACTTATCATAAGTCCTTTTAATGTAGATGAACTACGTCCCAGTAATAAGCCTACTGTTCCTTGGGGAAGAGGTCCTTTTACTCCTGTGGGAATGATTTGAACTCCCATGTCTGGAGTTAATACTGCTCTGGCAGAGGCACAGATGTCCAACCCTGCGCTCCCTCGGGTTTGTCTGATGAGGGATTTAATGGACAATGTGTCCTGGGCACTACCCTGATGGTGTTGCTGGGATCCTCCACTGCCCCGTATATTTGTGGTTGTGGGCCCCGGAGCATTGGGCCCCCCTGTCCGTTTTTTGGCAATGGAGCCTGATGCCTTTCTCCACGATATCTTGGATAAATACCTGGTCTTTGTCCGTTTTTTGATAAGGGAGTACCTTCTATGGTGGTTTGAGAACGGCATTCATTAGCCCAATGTCTCCCTCTACGGCATCGTGGGCAAATACCTGGTATTCTATTCCTTTGATACCTACTTTTGTTAAACCCTCCTCCTATGGGGCAATTCCTTTTAAAATGTCCTGTTTGTTCACAATCATAGCATGTTTTTGGCCTGGCATCTAAAGCCTGTTGTACTGCAGCTGCCAAGACTTGCCCTTGTTCATTAATATCTCTACATAATTTAATATATGTGTTTAAATCTTCATGTCTCCATGGTCTAATAACCTCTCTGCAGCAACGATTTGCTTGGTCATAAGCCAGTTGTTTTATTAATGGCATTGCTTGTTCTGTATCCCCAAAAATTTTGGCAGCCGTTTGAATTAGCCTATCTACAAAGTCAGCGTAAGGTTCATTAA